CTGCCTGAGTTAGAGGAAGATCTATGTCTCCTCAGCTGGGTTGATATTCTCAGCCACTATCTGGCAGGGGTATTTGAGTCCTGACAACCTTGGGTGTTTAATTTAGGCTGGGGCAGTTGACTCAGTTCCAGCCCTGTCCCTAATTGACATTGCTTGCAGAACCACAGAACTTCACAGAGTTTGTTTCTGTCCCACTATCAGATGCTATTTGAGGTGACAGAAACCATGAGTCAGCTCTAGGCAGCAGCAAGCAATTAGAGCTCTCCCTGAGCTGTCAGTTCCAGCCTTTGCCTGCTTGCTTTTGTCTCAAATATAATCCTCTGAGGGCTGGGTGCATCTTAGGCTCAGTACAGCTGTCCTCTGGGTCAGCTCCACCCTGGGAGTGTGCCTGGCTCTGTGCACAGATATTGTAGTCCTTGCACTCCTTTTACTCATGTCCCAGAACTGTCCACCAGTGGCTGCCACTGGAGAAGATGCCTGGCTTCCTCTGGTTGCCCACAGAGACAAGGTGTGTCTGTCTGGGATAGCCCCAGGGGCGTGAGCCTTATTGTTCCTATTGCTGCTGCTTTTCTGCACCTGGTGGCACTGTCATCACTCCTGTATGGTTTCCTCTCAGCTGACCATTCTCTCCTTATTCCCATGCCATAGAATCAGCATGGCCGAGCAAGGGCCCTTCCCCTGTCCACACCTCTCAAGAAATTGCCCAGTTTTATGCCTGGCAGGAGAGTGCCATGGCACCCTAGAAGAGGTAAGAGGTCCAGGTTTTAGAGGGTCTCTCCTGTGGGATGGAATGGGAGGATGTTTGAACTCTGCTCACTTGTTTGTATGAAGGTTACTGTGAGCCCTCCACATGGGGGAGGGGACTCCCATCAGCTTCTTGATGGATTTAATACCTTTGTTTGTATCTTTGGGGTCGTAGCTCACCGCAGTAGGGTTGATGTGCATTCTTCAACCTTCTCTCTTGGCTCATCTCCAAACCATTGGCTTACTTGATAAACCTCTGTCTTTTAACTCTCCTTCTGGACGGGAGCCTCTGTGGAAAGCTGGCTGCAGTCTGCCATCTTACCTCTGCCTCCTTGTGTTACATTTTTTAATGTAAAAGAAGTTGTCAATTTAGTAAATAATCCAGAAATTGTTTTCTGGAAGATTTTATTAAAATAGAAATACTAAGTGCACAATTATAGTATGCCTACACAAAGAAGTAAAGATAAAAAAAAAATTGCTTTTTGTCCTTTTCAGCTAAGAACTATACTTGTAATTAATGCATTCAATTCTCTAACAAGTTCTTATTGAATGTGTTTGAATATTCCAGTGTTATATATTCTTAGATATTATGCATATAAGCAATGCTTCATGCCATGTGACCCTACTCTCATATCTCACAAACTTTTTTTGTATATAGAACATTTAAGTAAGTGAGATGATGATTAAGAGAATTACATCTTTCCCTCTTTTTCACCTTAGTCACTCTCTTACTGTCATAGTTAAATATGTGGCAAAGAACTTCAGTTTTTTCATTGCTCATGTGGGTATAATCACCAGTTAAGCTAAATGTATTGAGGTAGCACCATCCTTCTTTATTCCTGAAGGAGATTGGACAGGAAAAAGTCTTGGAATAGTCATTTAATAATGATAGGAAGCTCATGTTGGCTCTACACTCTGATATCAAACTTAGATAACTTGCAAAAACTATGTTAAAAAGTATTTGTTTCTCCACAGTACCTGTGGTTCAAAGGAGTAGGGCACTGGCTCCATATACCAGAGGTGGCGGGTTCAAACCCGGTCCTGGCAAAAAAGTGAAAACAAAAAAAAAGAAAAGAAAATAATTATTTCTTTATTACATGGGGACAATTCCTGTTCAAATTCCTTGGACAATATGAAGTTTAAATATGTAAACTAGTCAAGGCATCTGCAGAGCTCTAAATATCTGGGGGAAGGGATACTATGCATACAAGTACCTGGATAAACATAGATTTCTTTTTTTGTTTAAAGAAATATATTATAACATCTTAGAACAGTACAGTCCAATAAAACGTTGTGCAATAATGGAAGTGGTCTATATTTTCACTGTCCCACACAGTAGCTGCTAGCCACATGGAGCTATTGAGAACTTTAAATGCAGCTAGTGTGACTAGGAATTAATTGTCAAATTTTATTTAATTTTAATTAAGTAAAATTTAAATGTAAATACTCCTTTGGGGATAATCACTGTCGTGTAGAACACAGCAGTTGTACAAGGCAGAAAAGTGATAGGGACATTATTTATTATCTGGTACATATATTTCATTGTTACCTTGAGAATTAAAAGAAACATATTTTTAATATTACTTCCAGTTTGCATAAAATAATCAAAAGAGTGCATGTGCTGAACATGGATTTTTTTTTTTTTTTTTTTTTTTTTTTTTTTTTTTTTGCCAGGGATGAGTTTGAACCCGCCACCTCAGGCATATGGGGCTGGCACCTTACTCTTCTGAACCACAGGGGCCACCCTGAACATGGATTTTTTTAATTCACATAAATTTGCCTTAACTTGATTCAGAAAACAAAGACCAATTAAAAATTCAGGCAAACACATAAGACTGGATACTAAATCTATTATCAGGCAATGCACACACATAAATATATAAATTTAAAAATTAAATCTAGCTTATCTTTTTTCCTAGCTGTATTATACTTATAAATTAGATAACCAAGTCTGAAACTCAAGAACTTCAGAATATTTACATGTTTTTATACTATATTATATATGTTAGTTTCCCTTTATAACCTCTATTAATACCTTATAATTTTCCTTTACAGTTCTGATTAAGAATGTACTTATTGTCTTAATTAACTTAAACTGTGAGCATCAATACCATCATTAAATACCTAGACATAGATTTTTCTCTAATTTTAGCTAGAATTTAATTTACATTAAATTAGTAAAATATCTTTACTCACTACGATGTCTCCAGTGTCTGGGAGAATACTCTGATCATATTAGCCACTCAATATTGGGATGCCAAGAATTAAGAGAACAGTATTAAGTACCATAGGTTTTGTGAGGTATAATTTAGAAATTTTTTCCTCTCATAAATGAGTAATTCTAGATTTGAACCTTCCTAAAAGCCTTTTGGAATATCATTACAAAAATAAAATTGTCATTAATAACTGAATTTATTTAGATAAAATTATAGTAGTGTATACTATATTTATTCATATTCAATATTGTCATGAAATTGTTTTTCTTAAAATACACAATATACAAAATAATGCACAAATTTCATAGTGCTAATTTTCACACTGCAAATAAGTATAACATGAGTCAAAGAAAAGCAAGATCATTTGTTGGTATATGTGAATGAAGCAGAATTGAATGCTCATTTTAATTGTATGAGTGAAAAATAAGATAACTAAAACACATTAGTTTAGCTCATATGAAAAATTTTTAATAACATTGGAGAAAATTAATGGTTTAAATTTGGGGGAGAAAATCCACCTTAAATTTAATAATAAACATTTAATTCTTCTATGAAGGTCTATTATGATTCTGCATTTGAATAAAAGTGTATGTGAATCTCAGTGGAAAAAAATTACAAAAGTTTGTAGAAATATTTTCAAATAATTTATAAGAAAAAGATAGATGTATTTGGATATTGTCCAAGATTATATACAGGCAATTATAAAATGAGTAAATTTGAAAAAGATAATATCATGTGGAATATATTTATAAATTGACCATATATTCTAGCAGTCCAAGAAAATTGTTTACAAGTTTCTAATTTTTAGGATCTTGTTTTTAGACATTGGTATGGCAAACGTGTAATTTCATATGTTATCCTGTTTTTTTATGACACAGCATTTAAATGAGAGATCAGTAACTGATGATTCTCTCCACATCAGCAACATTTACCTTAAAAAATGTATTAGGAAATTAAGTTTTCAGAAGTGTATATGTGTGTATTGTGTGTATATATATTCTCATAAATAATTCATGAAGTTAAAATCTTATGGTTCCCTCTGGTCTTTTCTTTACACCCTTCAGTACCATTTTATCTTATTCATGTTTGTCAAAAGGCTGCAAGTAATACTGAATGGGATTCCTCTTGAGAGACAGTTGACAGTACTTCTCATTTAGCTATCAAGATCACTATTTACCTGTGCAGATTTCATCTTTTTGTAGTTCAGAATGGGTACTGTTTATTAAATGTTTCCATACTGTGACTCCATGGGCATGAAGAGAAAACAGGTGCTATCCAGGGCTGTATTTTTCAATTTGACATTTTGACATGTGAGATTCAATTCCTTGCACTTGCACATTAAATAAAATAAAAGTTAATAAAATAATGTGTTTTTATCATAAAGATAATTTCATTTTGATCATACATTCCTACAGGAAAAAATGGAAATTTTGTATATTTTGCACAAGTTTATATTTTTACCAGATTTGGTATATTTTTTTCTATTTGCCAAAGATGTTTCTTAGATGTAATATTTATTCTATTATCCTACATAAATATTTTATATTTCTGCTTACTTTTTGTGGTGAGGAAACATCTCAGACAACTGAAATCTATAGTAAAAATGTTTTAATTCATTTGGAGTAGTATTCCCGAGTAATTCACTCATAGCTTCATTTATTCTGTGAAATTTATTGGTAATTCTGTTTAAATTTTACACACTTCTTCTTGCAAACTTTAAATAGTTTACACAAATACCATAATTACTGTAAAATGCAATGGCCTAAACCTCCCCTCACCCCAGCCCCTAAATAATTCTTCTAGTACTATTCTCTAATTTTAAAAATACGTAGAGATGTTAAGCAACTTGAATGTTGTCATAATATTAGTCGTAGGCAGAGTTGAGACTTATCTATTTCTGAACTGTTAATTTGACTTCAAGAAAGTTTTCTCATTACATAAATTAACATAATTTAAATTATATTCACAATTTATCTTAACACAAATGTATTAATTTATGTTTCCAGAAGTTAAATTATATTTCATTCCATGTTTTCCAAGGTCAAAACATTTTTGGGCTAGATGTCATTGAATCACCAGAAGGAGACAAGATGCCACAACTTATTGTTCAAAAATAATTAGATAGGGAAGAAAAGGATACCTTTGTGATGCAAGTAAAGGTTGAAGATGGTGGGTTTCCTCAGAGATCCAGTACTGCTAATTTGCAAGTAAGTGTTGCTGATACAAACGACAACCACCTGGTTTTTAAGGAGAAGGAGATTGAAGTCAATATACCAGAAAATGCTCCTGTAGGTACTTCAGTGACACAGCTCAATGCCACAGATGCCGACATAGGTGAAAATGCCAAGATTTACTTCTCTTTCAGCAATCTAGTGTCCAACATTGCCAAGAGACTATTTCACCTCAACACCACCACTGAATTTATCACAGTCAAAGAACCACTGGATAGGGAAGAATCACCAAACCACAAGTTATTGGTTTTAGCAAGTGATGGGGGATCAATGCCAGCCAGAGCAATGGTGCTGGTTCTTGTAACAGATATCAATGACAATGTACCATTAATTGACGTAAGCTACATCATCAATCCAATGAATGGCACTGTAGTTCTTTCAGAAAATGCTCCACTCAACACCAAAGTTGCTCTCATAACTGTGACAGATAAAGATGCTGACAATAATGGTAGGGTGTCATGTTTCACAGATCATGAAGTGCCTTTCAGATTAAGGCCAGTGTTCAGTAATCAGTTCCTACTGGAGACTGCTGCATTTCTTGACTTTGAGTCCACAAAGGAATATGCCATTAAATTACTGGCTGCAGATGCTGGCAAACCTCCTTTGACTCAGTCATCCATGCTTTTCATGAAAGTGAAGGATGAAAACGACAATGCTCCAGTTTTCACTCAGTCTTTTATAGTCTTTCTGTTCCTGAGAATAACTCTCCTGGCACCCAGTTGACAAAAATAAGTGCAACACATGCAGATAGCAGGCATAATGCTGAGATCAATTATCTGCTAAGAACTGATGCTGCACCTGAATTCAACCTGAATCATCATTCAGGCATTCTGACTGCAGTGAAGATACTAGATAGAGAAAAACAGGAAAAGTATTTCTTGACAGTTCTGGCAAAAGATAATGGGGTGCCACCTTTAATGGCCAATGCCACAGTCTTTGGCCAGTCTCTGACAGTTCTCGATTAGAATGACAACAATACAATTTTCACACACAGTGAATACAACTTTTATGTCTCAGAAAATCTTCCAAGACATGGAACAGTAGGACTAATCACTGTAACTGGCCCTGATTATGGAGACAATTCTGCAGTCACTCTGTCCATTTTAGACATGAATGATGATTTCAATATTGATCCAGAGACTGGTGTCATATGACCTAATATTTCATTTGATAGAGAAATGCAAGAATCTTATATTTTCTATATAAAGGCTGAGGATGGTGGTAAGGTATCACATTCTTCAACTGCCAAAGTAACCATAAATGTGGTTGACATAAATGACAACAAACCAGTTTTTGTTGTTCCTCCTTCCAACTGCTCCTATGAATTGGTTTTACCATCCACTAATCCAGGCACATTGGTCTTCAAGGTAGTTGCTCTTGACAATGACACTGGCATGAATGCAGTGCTGTAGGAAACACAAAAGGTCTGTTTGTAATTGACCAAGCAACAGGCAACATCACACTGACGAGAAATGTGTTGTAACAGACCTTGGTTTACACAGACTGATAGTCAAAGTTAAGGATTTAGGACAACCTGATTCTCTCTTCAGTGTTGTAATTATCAATCTGTTTGTGAATGAGTCAGTGACCAATGCTACACTGATTCATGAACTGATACATAAAAACATCAAAACACCATTGACCCAAAATATTGAGATAGCTGGAGCATCCTTACCAACTAATGATCATGTTTGCCATTGTTGCTGGCACTATAACTGTCATGCTAGTTATCTTCATTACTGCTATAGTAAGATGTCACCAGACACCACACATTAAGGTTGCTCAGAAAAATAAACAGAATTCTGAATGGATTATACCAAACCCAGAAAACAGGCAGTTGATAATGGTGAAGAAAAAGAAGAAGAAGCATGCCCCTAAGAACCTGCCATTTAACTTTGTTACTATTGAAGAAACTAAGGGAGATGATGCTGGCAATAATGGAAACAGTGTCACACTAGACCTTCCCATTGAGCTGGAAGAGCAAACCATGGGCAAATACAACTGGGGTACCACATCTATTACTTTTAAGACTGAAAGCCCTGTTTTGGCCCAGCACTACAAATCTGCCTCTCCACAGCCTACCTTCCAGATCCAGCCTGAAACTCCCCAGAATTTGAAGCACCATATCATCCAGGAATTGCCTGTGGGTAACACCTTTGTTACCTGTGATTCCATCTCAAAGTGTTCCTCCGGCAGTTCTGATCCCTATAGCATTTCTGAGTGCAACTACCCAGTGACAACTTTCAAGACTCCTCTGTCTGTACACACCAGACTGGTAGGTAATCCAAGTTTCTAACTAAAATTTCTAACTTTATTTTTTAAAATTATTTTCAAGTGATGTCAAACTTTACAGAGTCTGTTGGCTTCAAAGAGGGATCAAAACAATCATATTCCCTGGAAGTATCCAAATAGATACATCAGTTAAGTGTGATAGAAAATCAGAGTAAAAGTTGTAGGAAAATTGGGTGCAGAATGATGGTTATAATAAGCATAGTTTTGTATGTGGATGGTAGAGTGAAACTTCTTGCTGAAGAATATGCTGGAAAAACTCCAAGACAAATGTTCATAGCATTATCCTCAGTACCTTTGTGTATGTGAGGATCAGAACAATTTGAGATAGATAAATAACAGTAAAGCTATTTAGAATTTCATAAGCAAATCTTAATTTTAATTATGTTGAGAATCCTAGTTTCACTTGGGAAAATATGTGGCTGCCCAAGGTAATTAAATGGCTCCAAGATATCATCTCCAACACCCATACTCAGCACGCTTTCCCATCTCCACAAAGAAATCTGTTATTTTCAGATTAGGAACTCAAAAATTATTTTGGTGTGTCAAACTTATATTCACACAATGTAACAATAATGGGATTAGAAAAATAAAGCAATGCTCATTCTCATCTTCAAATGAGAGAATTTAATATCTACTAGATTTTTTAGAAAACCATTTAAATATTTGCATATTTATGTGAGATATTTTGAGCCCTTCAGAAATCATTCTTAAAAAATGATGACTTTTGGAAAATGGAATAGATTATGTTAAGACATAAGGAATATGTGAAGAATAAATTAAAACCCACTAAATTTATGAAATGAAGAGTTTATACAGAGCTTTTAATCTGTATTCCATGGAAAAATTAAATTCACTAAAATACATTTAGAAATTCATAAATAACTTAAATGGTTTTAGTATGCTTATGTCCTTAATAAAGTAAAGCCATGGAATTTATCTACACTTTGTCCACTCAAAGTGATGCCACATTGTTGACTTTATTATAACGTTAGGTATCTATGTAACTGTTCAAAAGGTCTTAATTTCAGTTTTAGTGAATAAGGTCTTTTGAAACCTATCAGGCTTAATAAAACAATAGCAATGTGAAAATTAAAATATATTATCTTTCACAAGAGTTACAGATATTAAAGAATAAGCCAGGTTAAAGATAAAAATGCAAATAAGTTACCATAATTTTGGAAATGGGTTTCAGGAATGAAAGTCATTTAAGAATTCGTACAGTTGGGTGGCACCTGTGGCTCAGTGGGCACAGTGCTGGCCCCATATGCAGAGAGTGGTAGATTCAAATTCAGCCCTGGCCAAACTACAACAAAAGAATTGCCGGGTGTTGTGGCAGGTGCCTGTAGTCCCAGGTACTGGGGAGGATAAGACAAGGGAATTGCCTAAGCCCAGGAGTTGGACGTTTCTGTGAGCTGTGTGACTCCACAGTACTCTACTGTGGATGATAAAGTGAAACTCTGTCTCTTGGTAGAATATGAACGTTTTAACAGAATAACTAAGAAAATGACATGAAGGCTATGTTAACCAGTTTGATGGAAATGTTTCAAATTATATGTGAAAACACCACACTGTACCCCCAAATTGCATCAATGTACATAGTTAGGTTCAATTAAAAAAAAAAAGGAACTTTTTTTTTTCCAAAAAAAAAAAAAAAAGAATGCATACAGTTAAATAAGATAACTCACCAACCTCTATCTCTCTGAATTACACATTGAAAGCAAAGTAATAATTTAGTTGTGGGTGTAGGTTTTTTTTAACAGAAGTCCACAATTAAATGCTATTGCAAAAGGTAAAATATAATTTCAGTCACTGTGTAGAGGTTTTGTTAGGCTTTAAATTACTGTATGCTGCAGTGGTTATTTCTACAGTTCAGATGAGTTCCACATTTCTCTGTTGGTGGACCTTTGATGAGCAACAAATATAACAGATCATAAGGTGCATTTTTATTCATATTTAACCATTCAAAAGGACTCTCATTTTCTCATTCTTATAGCTATTCTGCTTATTGGAAACATTTCTTAACAGAAAAGTATCTTTTATGTATAGCACTTTATGTGTGCTGCATATAGTAATAAAACTTTTTCCTTGACTTAATTTGCAACTGTCTTTAAAAAGTACACAAAGGGTGGGGTATGTGAATTATATTTATAGATCAACATTTTTAAAAGACTGGCTTATGAACTTAGCTAATAGTGAAAGTTCTGGCTTTATTTTTGAAAGCACTGAGGTATTTTATGAACTAGAATAATTTTGCTTGAGTATATGAACATATAGTTAGCAAGACATGAATGAAAGGGAAAGATTGAAGTATTTTCCAAATATCCTAATGTTCTGTTTTGTTTTTATAGTTTTTAATTCTTAAAAAGTCAATAAAATGAATAACTTTTTCTGATGATGACATTTTATATTGGATAGGGAGGAAACTTTTTTTAAACATCAGACATATGGCTTCATGACTAAGGCAAAATCTGAAAAGTAAATGCTAATGAGAATGAGTTATTTATTGTCATTTGGCTTTAACAACTAAAAGAAGTATCTTTGAATCATGAGCTGTCAATGATTTTTTCAACTTATTACACATTATAAAAAAAATTATATACTTCATGCCATTGATGCATAGTTGTTTCATATCCATTAATAAATATCTTCCAGACATGAACTAGTGAATTTAGGTAGACTAATATGGCACTAAAAATAATTTGAATCTTTATATTTTGTGCCAGATTTGTGATACTTTTACACTTTCTACACCAACTTCAATTTGTAATTAATACCAGGAGATTCATTTTATATTATTGCAAAATGTTAATAAGTGAGTACTGAAAAAATTATGTATTTAAAAATTCACATATCGTAGGTGTCTTCTTTTTAAAGAAATATCCTATAAAAATAGGGAAAATGATAATCCAATGCAATAAAAATTCATTGTTCCTTGAGGCAATAATTAGAGTGGAATAAAATATTGCTGTTAGCAGAAGGCAGAAACATTCAAATTTATTTTAAACATAATGAGAAACACATTTCCAAAGGAAGACGTAGGGTGATATTTACATTTATTTTGTTACTAATCTGAATAGAAACATGAAAATGGACAAATAAAATTGTTCTAGTAAGCTATAAGATATAAAAGGCTGTATCCACAATGTCATGTTTTAAAAAGGGAATCAAATACTTTCTATAGATTACTTTTTCTTAACTCTTATGTTCTAAAAAAAATTTTAGATACATGTATTAATTAGGAATTCTTCTATTTCATGAAGCCATTACTAATGGGAACATGATGTTCCTCCTTGGCATAAATTTCTATATGTATTGTGGAAGGCATTTTTGTATATATTATACTAGAGAAGAAAAACACAAAATTCAAGAAGAGGAGTCTGCATACTACTCTTTATTAGCACTATTCAGAGGAAGCCAATAGCATTTGGTTCATTTGAAAATAGTAAATATGAATAACTATTTTAGAATCAGTTTTAATAATTGTCATACAAGAGAGATAAACTGTCAAAATCAACTCTTGCTTAACATAGCTCCCCCATTAATAGATTATAAAGAATATGCGTTTGAAAAATAGAGAGGAGAATAAAAAGAAAGCATCATTTTTCTGGGGTCTTCTATATGTCTCTCACTTAAGATATGTATTTGAGGTACATCATATTACCCAAACAAATAAACAAACAAACAGCTGTACAAATTTCTGTGATTTGAGTTGTACTAGTCTTACAATTTTGTAAATGAGCTGAAAGGAATGGTGAAAAGTTTGGGTAGTTATAATTCTTGGATAGAATCATGCTATAGATATGATACATGTATTAAAAATGATAATAGCACTCTGGAATAGGATTGCGATTCACTACCATTACATTTGATAACTTTGATTCTGTATATATATGTTTTGGTAATGTTAATGTTAACAATGTAATACTCTTGGCAAATAAAACTACAATACAGCCATCTCATTTTGATAACATGCTATTTTTCTTGTGCTAGACTGATTCCAGGACATGGAATATAGAAATATTTAGTGAGATATAACATTGTAGGAAAAACATAATTCCATTCCCCTTTTAAATAATTTCAATGATTTGTGATTTCAAATTTGGTTAATATTATTAATTTTGTAATTTAGATTTGCCATTACAATAGCAAGCAAAACAAAAACCACATTAGAAATGATGTCCTAGTTAAGCTTGTGCTTTCTTTAGCTGTAATCTGGCCACAGACAGCTAAAATTAGGGAAGAAACAGCGTAGTGTAATAGCAGAGTTGTATCATGCTCTTCTTCTATTTTCTTGCTCTGACTTTGAATAAACTGTGATGTGATATAATGCTGCCTTGGTGTACACACTGATGATTAATATTTCAATCATGAAACATGGAATTATCTGCCTTGTCTGATAACTGAAGAGTTTGACCATTTCCTGGAGTTTGGAAGTGCAGCTAAACTATCTAAGCTACACTCTGAAAGGTATCCAGAGCAAAAAATTAGTTTAAGAACCCCTAAAACAAAGAAAAAAAAAAAAAAA